GTATCTTGGTAAAGTGCAGAAAAATCTAATGTTTTATATGATACAGTGTGATTTCAGTAACATATCATAATGGAGGCTTCAGCAAGTACTTACGAAGGACATCTTTCCTCTGCTCTTCAGTTAGTTCATCAAAACGCAGGACTGCAAGCTGTCATCTGTGAGGCGTGAGCGGCGTTTGTTTTTTCACATAGTTCACGGTGGAGAACAGCTGCCGACATAATGTGGATCCGAAGATCCATAATTGGCCTACCTGGGGTTGAAAGTCTCGATAAATGCACGCCGTTTCAGCGGGTACACCGGCTTCCGCGAGTGTGGCGCTTATTTTGAGCAATGAAAAAATAATAAAATATAATTTTATTTTTATATTTCAATATCACAATAATCTTCCAATGTAGAACTACAAGTTGAAAAAAAAACTAACATAAATAAAATACACTTCAGTTAAATACTTTTAATTTATTTTCCCAAGCCACGCGGAGCCGCACTATACGGACTAAAGAGCCGCAGGTTGCCGACCCCTGCTCTAACCCATCCAAATCATTGAAATTGAAATTTCCTCGCTATTAAATATTCCATAGTCAGCTGTTAGTGATATTAAAACAAAGTGGAAGTAATTGGAAATGACAGCTAGTCGGCTGATGCTAAGGCTCATAGTGCACTTAAGTCACCAATATCTGCAGTCTGCTATTGTTACAGATGTCCAAACTTCATTGGTTTCCATGGCTGAGCAGCTGCATCCCAGCCTTACATTGACAAACACAATGCAAAGTGTCAGATGGAGTGATTTAAGCATCTCAACACTGGACTCTAAAGCAGTGGAGATGTGTTTACTGGAGTGACGAATCACACTTCTCTGACTGGCAATCCGATGGATGTGTCAGGGTTTGGTGGTTGCCAGAAGTACTTGTCTGACTGCACTGTGCCAAGTGTAAAGTGTGGTGGAGGGGCGATTTTGTTGTGGGGCTATTTATCAGGAGTTGGGTTCGCCCCCTTAGTGCAGATGAAAGGAACTCTTAATGCTTCAGCATATCAAGACAATTTCATGCTTCTAGTTTGGGGATGGCCACTTTCTGTTCCAACATGGCTGGGCACCAGTGCACAATACAAGGTCTATAAAGACATGGATGAGCGAGTTTGGTGTAGAAGAACTGGACTAGCCTGCACAGAGTCCTGACCTCACCCTGATAGAACATATTTGGGATGAATTAGAGCAGCAACTGTGAGCCAGGCCTTCTCCTCCAACGTCAGTGTCTGACACCACAAATGCACTTCTGGAAGAATAGTCAAAAAATTCCCATAAACACACCTAAACCTTGTGGAAAGCTTTCCCAGAAGAGTCGAAGCAGTTATAGCTG